TGTCTATCAAAATTATCTAACATTATCAAGATGAATTTGTTCTGACACAGTTTAACTCTGAGTTCTTGTCATATTTTATTACCATTTTCTAAACTATAGTGAATAAACTGTGATAATTTGAGAAATGTTAAAGGTGTCTGAATAAATTTTGGTTTGACTGTATCTATTTGATAAATGAAGTTAACCAACTAACATTATACATACACTTTTCGTTTCTGTACCCAATATTTAAAACATTTACAAATGCAATAAAAATATCGGCATCGGTACTCGGCATCGGCAAGTACCAAAAATAAAAGTATCGGTATCGGGCGAGTACTGGAAAATGTGGTATCGGTGCATCCCTAGTAAACACAAATCCATAACAACTCACCCAATTCCCCAAACATCCTATTTTCAGGTCAAAATGAAGCTCTACACTCAAAAACATTCACTCTTGCTGAAAAACCAAACTTTCACACACAAGCTTTCAAAAACACACACACTACAACATAGTATTACACACTGGTGCAGTAAATTCAAAACAATATATTCAAAACTGGTAAGTTATGTTTATGCTTGTGGTTCTCCCCCTCAAAAACCTTTTCACATGAACACAAAAGACACAACCAATGTATACATTGGCACATTTTTATTCATTCATGTACTACACAGCACAACTGTAAAAAAAAAAAGAAAAAAAAAAGTAATAATTCCGCCTCAGCATCCCGTCTTTGTTCTGGGTCATGCCAGAGAATCTCGTCCACATCGCAGGCTATATTGGCCCTAGCCAGGCAGCGAGGGTAAAATCCTCTTGCATGCCTGATCCACCCCTGGCATGCATCTACTGATATGTCTAGGCAGGCTTCTTCCATGGCCTGGAGGAGGTGGGCACGGATATAAGATTCTCGGTCATACACTTTCCACCGCCATGCCGAAAAAAACTCCTCTATCGGGTTTAGAAAGGGAGAGTATGCAGGCAGAAAGATGTTAGAAAATCTCGGGTTATTGGTAAACCAGTCACGAACCAGAGCAGCGCGATGGAAGCTGAAATTAACCCAAACAACAATGTAATGAGGCTGCTCTGGCTGTGCTGGTTCCCTGAGGTCCAGCTGGAACATATGCTCTCTTAGACAGTCAAGGAAAGCAAGGAGGAGCATAGTGTTATAGGGTCCTAGAATGGCATGACGGTGGAGTACCCCTTGTTGGCTGATGGCTGCACACATAGTGACATTCACTTCCACGCTGACCAGGGACATTTACAATAGCCCAATGGCTAATTATGTTCCTCCCCCTTCTCCTTCTTTTGGTCAGGTTGAAACCAGCCTCATCCACAAAAATAATTTCATGGGGAACAGGCCAGCCTTCAATCTCAAAGATTCTCTGCAAAACACATGAAACACAGTAGAGTAAATCACTACGCTGAAGCACAGTTCAAGAGGGCACAAATGGCAGCATAAACTGCTATACTGTGATGGTACACAATACTTCATACGATATCAAAACTCATACCTGAACATATTCCGCTCGTTGGTCTTTCACTCTCTCAGAGTTTCGTTCGAAAGGGACGCGGTACGCCTGTTTCTTTAAATGATGATTGATCGAAAATTATGATTATCCTCAATCCCTCTCCTTTGAATCTCTCGCAGGCGGATTACATTATTTGCAATGACCATGTTTACAAGCTGCCTCTCTTGCTCCTCCGACAAAAGCTTTAGCCTGCCTCCACCAGGTGGTCGTCTCTGTGTCCTACAAAAATAGAAGCACTCATTACTGTAACTGTTACACATCCTTTTTACAGGAAAAAATGGAAACCTACTGAAACTCTGATGCATTTCTTTATTACAGTAGCATAGTGCAACAGTGTATGCACTCTAAAGTTACTGTACAGAGCAGTCTTACTGTAAGTACACCTAACTGTTTTCCTCCCTGAAGGTTCTGATGATGGAGGCGACGGTGAAGCGACTCAAATTTGGCTGTACTCGTTGCCCAGCCTCCCTCATAGTCATACCATGGACAAGGACATGGTCAACTAAAGTGGCTCGAATTTCATCTGAGACTGCTTGTCTCCTTGCCCTTCTTCTCCCTCCTCCTCCTCCTTCACCACGTCCTCTTCCTCTTCCTCCTCCTCCTTCACCACATCCTTCTTCACCACGTCTCTCTTCTTTTTTTCTAAAGCAAGTGTACTGTGAAATATAATATGGAAAGTAGGTCATCTTTTTTAAGCGTTATTTAATTAGAGCAGCATCACAGCTTTTGTGCTTGAAGTTCACACCAGGGTCACGTTTCTGTTTTTTGGCTGCTAAAGAGATTTTTGTCAGTTTTTAACTGTGGATCAAAATTTGACAGTCTTTGTTTATGCTACTTGATGCTTTTATTTATTTATTTATTTTTTTAAATGTTTAATCTAATAAATTATTTAAAAAATATATTTTGTACTTAAATACGTTTGCATATATTTTATAAAAATAATCTTTTTGTTGTTACTTTTTATTTTATTTACAATTTTTAATCCAATGAATTCTAAAAATGATTTTTTTTTTCACATTGCTTAAAAGTTCATGTTGCAAATATTGCTGTATAATACTATAGCCAGTCTAGGGTGTCTTCTGTATGCTAGAGTATGTTTTGTTCATTAGCCAGAAAGCTTCATTACATATGTTTGTTTCCTCTGTTTAAGAGGCTGATCTCTCTCTCTCTCTCTCTCTCTCGTTCTTTCTCGTTGTCTCTCTCTCACTGTGGGGTGTAATTGGATGTTTTAATTGTGTTAGATTCTACAGCTACAGTTCCAAGCTGCCGGTGTAATCTGGGTTTATGCTGGCCTGACATTAAGCAGTTTTGCATGGGCATCCTGGGAGAAACCGGGCTCCTCCAGTGCTGTACCAGTGCTGAGATGCTCTATGGGGATTTATTGGCTGCTCAGAACTGGACATGGAAAGAGGACTAAGAAATACAGGGGGGGAAAGCCAGACAATAGAAACAGGAGGAGAAAAAGCCATTCAGAGCTCCTTCAATTAGCAGATGGTTTATGAGGCAGCAGTAGAGCATGATGGATTGGGCCACTGGAGTGGTTTGGATAGTACAGCATGTTTCACATTAGAGCTCAAGTACTTCTCATCCTGTATTTGGACAGTGTAGCCCGCTATAAAACAATGTGTGGTTGTAGTTGTCAGAAAGTAGCACTTTCATTCTGGTGATGCTTAACAGATGCTTTTTCAGTTGCAATTATTTTAATATTTTTATGTGTCAGCCCATTCTAGAAAAAGTTTATTTTATTAATTTAAATTTGAAAATGCACATTTTAATTTTATTACAATAAATGTATTTCATATTTTAAAACAACTACTGTAGTCAACCTACAGTTTTGCTGTTGCAATTGGTAATATTATTTTCACGCCAAACTATTCTAGATATATGTAGTTTTTTGTGAAAGCGTATTTTTATTTACATAAAAATTATAAATTTATTTTTTATTTTATACTTAAGCATGTCAGCACACACAGAAGAGGAGACTCACTGAAACGGGATCAAGGGATTTATTAAAAATAGGTGACAAGGAAGTATGACGGGTAGCTCAACTTAGAAACAGTTTGTGTGCTTGTTTCTTGCAGGAAGATGTGGGTAGCGGTCCACAAATGAAGGAGTCCAATGTGGGAGAAAGGTAAGCAGTCAGGCAGGCAATGCTTGTAATCGTTTGATGAGACCTGACAATGAAGGACTGAAGTGCAGATTTATAAGAGCTAGTTCTAATGGACGAAATAGGTGAAGATGATCAGTAATCCGGTGATTGAGATTAGGTAGGTGTGGTGATGGGATCTGGTGCTGAGGAGTTGACAGATTCTGTGACAGTACCCCCTCCTCCACAGGTGGCTCTCGAAGACCAAGGTGGACAGTGACGGGGACACTTTTTCCTCTGGGTGCAGGGCGATCTGGGTGGTTGGTATAGGTCTCTATGAGTAAAGACAGGTCCAAGATATCGTACCGAGGGACCCAGGAACGTTCTTCTGGTCCGTACCCCTCCCAGCCCACTAGATATTCCAACTGACCACCTTGTCTCCGGAAGTCCACAATGGTGTTGACCTTGTTGATGGATCCTTCGTCAGACTTGATGGGAGGAGGAGGCATGTCTGAGGTACCAGATCCTGTGAGAGAAGGAACCAGAGGGTGAGTATACGGTTTTAGTAATGAAACATGAAAGGTAGGTGAAATGCGGTACTGTGCAGGTAAGTTAAGTCTAAAGGTGACTTAATTAGTTTTTTGTTGGATGGTGAATGGACTGATGTAGAGGAAACTTTACTTACGACAAGGAAGCCGGAGACGGATATCCCTGGTGGACAGCCAAAATTTTGGCCCGGGTGGTATATGGGGGTGGCAGATCTTCTAGCATCTGCCTGGCTCTTATGTCTCTGTACTTTCCTCTGTATGTGTATATGTGCCTCTCGCTTACCTCAAACCAGTGGTTCACAGCTGGAACATCTGAAGGCTCTCCTGACAAGAGAAACAGGGGCAGTTGGAAACCGAGTACACACTGGAGAGGTGTTAGATCTGTGGTGGATTGGCGTAAAAAAATTCTGTGTGTACTCTGCCCAAGTAAGAAATCAGTTCCAGCTGTGTTGATGGCTGTGACAGTATGACCTCAGGTAACGGCCGATCTCCTGGATCTTACGCTCGGTTTGACTGTTGGTTTGTGGATGGTATCCTGATGAGAGGCTGACTGAGACTTCCAAACCCTTCCAAGGATTTCCAAACCCAAGAGATGAATTGTGGCCCCTGATCTGATACGATGTCCTCTGGGATACCAAAGTTGCGGAAAAAGTGCTGGAACAAGGCCTTTGCCATTTCAGTGGCAGAAGGGAGACTTTTGAGGGGGTTTATACAGCAGGCCTTGGAGAATCTGTCCACAGTGATGAGAATGCAGGTGTGATTATCAGATGGGGGCAGATCGGTTATGAAATCAATTAGATGTGTGACCATGGTTGCCTGGGAATTGGGAGTGGAACCACTTTTCCTTCGGTCAGATGATGGGGAGTCTTCGAGATGGCACAGGTGGGACAGCCTCTCACAAACTGAGCAACATCCTGGATCATTCCAGGCCACCAATATCACTGACGGAGGAGCGAGAGGGTCTGTTGGCTGCCTGGGTGTCCAGAACCCAGAGAGGATTGCATGGAGTCCATGAGCGCTATTCTCAAGATGGATGGTACATAGGATCTTCCCTCAGGACCTCCCGGCGAAGCAGGTTCGGTTCGACGGGCCTCAATTATTTGGTCGTCCAGGGACCACTGAATGAGACCGACAATTAAGGCTGGAGGAAGTATGGCTTCTGGAGGGGTTGGATTGACTTCTGGAGAGTGTAATTGGGATCAGCTTTAAGGTTTTTCTCACCAGGTCTATAAGTGACTTTGAAATTGTCCTAGCGTGCTTGCCTTGGATTGAGGTGATGAGTTTCATGGAGACATTCTAGATTTCGATGATGACTTTGAATGGATATTTAGCTCCCTCCAGCCAGTGTCTCCACTCCTCATGGGCCAACTTTATAGTCAACAGTTCCCAGTTGCCGATGTCATAATTCTGCTCCACCGGAGACAGTTTTAGGTTTCGGGGTGGCACCACTATCCATATTCAATTTAGCATTCTTGTCTTCTGTCAGCACACACAGAAGAGGAGACTCACTTAAACGTTCAAGGGATTTTTTAAAGATAGGTAACAGGTAAGTATGACAGGTAACTTAACTTCAGTTCGTGTACTTGTTACTTGCAGGAAGATGCAGGTAGTGGTCCACTGATGAAGAAGGCTGAAGATACAACAGCCCAACACGGGAGAAAGGTAAGCAGTCAGGCAGGCAATGCTTGTAATCATTGACGAGACTAGACAGATAATGACTGTGAATGTGGGTTAATAAGGGCTAGTTCTAATGGACGAAAGGGGTGCAGATGATCAGTAATCCGGTGATTGAGATCAGGTAGGTGTGGAGATGGGATCTTGTGCTGAGGTGTTGACAGATTCTGTGACAAGCAACTATAGAGTCAGTTTTTCTGTTGCAGTTGTTAATATTGTTTTTTACAAATCGGCCCATTCTACAAATATTTTATTTTGTTTTATTTATGTACATTTATAATGCATTATTTTTTATATATATATATATATATATATATATATATATATATATATATAACTTTTTATATGTATGTGTGTGTGTGTAATGTCTATAGCCAGTATCCTTTAGTTTTTAAGGTGCTACTATTATTTTTGCATGTCAGCCTATTCTAGGACATTAGGGCCTTTCGCACCGCAGGAACCTTTTCGTAGTACCAGAACTAATTGTGGAACTACCCACTTTTTGTCGTGCTCGCACCGCCGGAACTGGGAGCGATTTTAGTACCGGACTGCCTTTTTCGAGAACCAAATTACCTCCTACTCCGGAGCAGGGTCTAACCAGCACAACTGGTACTAATCGTGATGCAAGTAGACATGAGACATATTTATTGGCCAAACGCGTACGAAAGCTCCCTCACCTGCCATGATTTAAAACGCCGTGTAAACATACTGCAAACATTGTCAACTTATTTCGCAAGTATGGAGAACCGCGATAGATGGACGAACGTTGAAGTGCAGGCACTTGTAGCAAATGTAGCACTGGCAGTTGTCGAGACAGATAATGACTGTGAATGTGGGTTAATAAGGGCTAGTTCTAATGGACGAAAGGGGTGCAGATGATCAGTAATCCGGTGATTGAGATCAGGTAGGTGTGGAGATGGGATCTTGTGCTGAGGTGTTGACAGATTCTGTGACAAGCAACTATAGAGTCAGTTTTTCTGTTGCAGTTGTTAATATTGTTTTTTACAAATCGGCCCATTCTACAAATATTTTATTTTGTTTTATTTATGTACATTTATAATGCATTATTTTTTATATATATATATATATATATATATATATATATATATATATATATATTACTTTTTATATGTATGCACCGCAGGAACCTTTTCGTAGTACCAGAACTAATTGTGGAACTACCCACTTTTTGTCGTGCTCGCACCGCCGGAACTGGGAGCGATTTTAGTACCGGACTGCCTTTTTCGAGAACCAAATTAGCTCCTACTCCGGAGCAGGGTCTAACCAGCACAACTGGTATTAATAGTGATGCAAGTAGACATGAGACATATTGATTGGCCAAACGCGTATGAAAACGCCCTCACCCGCCATGATTTAAAACGCCGTGTAAACATACTGCAAACATTGTGTCAACTTATTTCACAAGTATGGAGAACTGCGATAGATGGACGGACGCTGAAGTGCAGGCACTTGTATCAAATGTAGCACTGCCAGTTGTCATTGGAGATTCTTAGTCCTCCTTCCCATTCTTTCAATCGCTTTATGCAGCCTATACGTCGACATTTCATGTATATTATTGTGAAACCCGCGAGACAACAAAAACACCGCTCCGATCACAGCATCCTCCATCCTTCTGTTGTTAACGTTGTTCTTTGTTTACGTTGTTGAACGCCGCGCACAAATGACGTCACTGTGTGTCGACCGTCTTACTTACACTGTCGGTGCGTATACAACCCTTTAAATAGTACTGGGAAATAGTTTGCGCAAAATCATCCCAGTACTTTAGTACTGTACATTTAGTTCTGGAACCAAAGCGGTGCGAAAGGCCCTATTGACTTTAGTTAATCTGACACTTGAGCAGAATAGCAAGATTTTTCTATATATATAAGATAGTTTCATGAATGTTTTTATCAGTACTGTGAATTTCTTTAGAGCTGATGGAGATTTTCTGCTTCAAATAGTTTTAAAATCAATCTTCAGGGTCTTTATGACAATAATCTGCACTATTAGTTTGTTTGACATTCTAAAAAAGTTTATTTTTTGAAGACTGAATATGTTAATGTTGTCCTTTTTTAGTCCTCTGTCCCCTTTATCTCTGCTGAGGATGACCTTTGGTTAGTTCTCACCCTTTCATAAAACATAGAGCTAAAGAGAAATAACATCATTTTTATACCGTCTCGGCCAATTAAGTGGTAGTTGGTGGGCAGCCAGATATTTCACTCTAGTCTGACAAATTGAAAGAAAATAGGAAACCTGTAAGGAAACGTCCAAACTGTAGAATTAATTTTCAGACTGTTTAGTACACAGGCTTCATTCAAAGTCACAGGACCTGATATACATAAATTGTCATCGGGGCTGCATCTTTCTGTTTAGCTTGAGTGACAGTGGGCCTAATCATATATAATGGAAATGAAGTCTAGGAAGCTTGTTTGTGGGTCACAGGAAAAGGTTTCTCGTTATCAGCGTGCATAATCAGCATGCTAAATGCTAGCAGACAAGCTGTTTCCAAGCATTGTGGCAATAACAAGAGGCTCCACGCAGCCAGAATGAAATCGGAGTCTCTATGCGACACCAGGCCTGTAATTTGTAAGCTCCTTTTCACCTCAGTTAATTAAAAGTCATACAACAGAGAATGCCTGCACTTTACCATAAAGCAGGTTGCTGGAATTAGATGAACAAGAGATGAGGGTTGACATACAGCCTCTTCAATTTCACACAACACAAATAGCTTTGGTTTAGCTGTAATTATCTGCGGCTGTGTCCATTAAGGTTGGGGATGAAGTTTTAATCTGATGTTATTATGCAGAAAGGATTAAATCATAATGCCTTGGCTGCTCAGGGTCTCAGTGCAGTGTCTTGAAAAGCCTTTGAGGTGCCTTGAGTCCCGTAGGTGTTTATCTTTGAAAGGAATTCAGGTGTGTGCTCAAAGCAAGGTTCATTAGTGTAATAAGTTTGTGTAGCACAAAATAAGTTACACAGATTTGATTGTGACCTCTTCGTATTTAAAGGTGTGTAGAATCAATATGGATGGCCGAGATCAGCTTTCAATTTCATTAAGGATCACTTTTGGAGGCAATGGCTGATCGGCAGGGGAAATGACAGAATGCAAACTTCTTTTGAAAGACAAGAGGGTCGATTTAATTACTGTTCAGATACTTTATAGGCATCTTAACTTCAATCGCCGTAGTGGATTGTGTGTATGTCTTTCAGAGCTATCACACTGGTAAATTACTGGTTAAAGATCAGGAATGGTAATCCAATGTTTGTTGGTCCAAACCATAAATGTCAGTTTGTGAACTGGAAATTATAATGATTGAGTTTCTGAGAAAGTTATGTATTTCAAAGTCACTGTCGACGAACTGCTCTATTAAAAGTCTCTTTTTAATAACTAATTTAGTAGTTTCACTCAGCCAGATTAAAAGTCTAATCTATCCTTCCTTCCTTCCTGGTGAACTTTGGCAAATTCAGTGGTTGGTTCTTCGAAATTGCATTTGGTTTCAGTGTGGTACTTTGCAAACATGACTTTGTTTCCTGGGGGTCTGGATCATATCAACTTTTTCAACAGTTTCAAAGTTTTCATTCAGGCTTACTACCCTAAAAATTACTAAAATTGGTTAGTGTTATTTAAAAGGGATATTATTTTACCAAGTAATTGTGTGTGTGTGTTATCCCAGATAGCACACATACATATGTGCAATATGTGTGTTAAAGCTGGAAAGCATCTGCTGTGTACAAACATCTGATAGACGTCTCTAAGATGTCAGTTTTACATATGTTCTAAATCATAAACATCTTAAAGACATTTTCTAAACGTCTATTTGACATCTAATAGGAAACATCCTATAGACGTATTGCAAATGAGCAAACTCTAAAAAAGATGTCTTGCAGACGTCATATATACGTCTCCGTGATGTGCGTGTGCTATCAGGGTATGCATTTCTGTGTCAGGTTGTTAGCTTAGCAACATGCTAACTTGAAACCCTATTGAAATTAACTGCAAGATGAGTCAAGTGGTATTAGATTTTCTGCCTATGTAGTTTGTTCCAAACCACTCATTTATGAAGTTCTATAGAGTGCAACAATGTCCGCCCACTTTTTGGTTCTGAAATGGAAGCAGGGACATCTACAGGGGGTAATGTAGTTTTTCAACTATTAAATTAAATTAATAGTTTAATTGTGCTATTAAACACGATTATTTAAAAAATAATAATACGTTGAAATAATGTGAGCTGATGGCTTCATCAAAAGCATTGATTAGCAACTTTAAACTCACAGTGGGTCTGTCT